TAAGCCCTCCCTTTCTCCACTGGCAAGCCTCTTTCCTATAATAAATCTTTGCCTATGTGGAAACTCTGCCTTACCTGACAATTCTTAATCAGTAGAAAACAAGAGTCCTCTCTTACAGGACAGAAGAGTGGTTAGAACTACCAGTAACAAACTGAACTCATTTCTGACACTAGTCCAATTTAACTAAACAACAACAGCCATCAAGTCCAACTCATGGCCACCCCATGTGTGTTAGAATAGAATCATGTTCCATAGGGCTTCCAATGGCTAATTGTTCAGAAGTAGAGCACCAGGCTTTTCTTCCTAGGTAACTCTGTTGTGTTATTGTTGTCAAGTGATGTTGAATCTGTTCCAACTCAAAGCTACCTTATATAGGGTTTCCGAGAAGCAGCTGATGAGTTTGAACTGCTGACCTTATGGTTCAAAGAGTCCTTGTGGTTCTGTGCTTATCCTACAGTGCTGCACTAAGACTGCAGGGTACCTTTGTTACTGATGATTAGTGCTGACTTATAGTGACCCTTTATAGGGCTTCGTAGAGTCATCTGGAGGGTTTGAACCAGTAACTTTGTGGTTTGCAGTCAAGTGCTTATTCTACAGTGCCTCATCAGAAGTCCAGTATACCTCTGTTGTTGTTGTTATGTGACATGGAGTCGGTTCCGACTCATAGCGACCCTGTAGAGGGTTTCCATTTCCGAGGCTGTAAATCTTTATGAGAACAGAAAGCCTCATCTTTCTCCTGAGGAACCGCTGATAGTTTCAAACTGCTGATCATGAGATTAGCAGCACGATTTGTAACCACTACGCTACTACAGCTCCTTTAGCTGGACTTAAATCTCCAATCTTTTAGTTAGCAGCCAAGCAGGTTAACCATTTCCAACACCTAGGAATTCCTCCAATTAAGCTATGCTCTTATAAACCATATAGACTCCCCATTACCCACTTCCATTGAGTTAACACTGACTCATAGCAATCCTATTTATGGTTTCTAAAACTGTCAACTTTACAGGAGAAGACAGCCTCATCTTTCTCCCATAGAACAGCTGGTGGGTTTGAACTGAAAACCTTACAGTTGGCAGCCAAGATCTTAACCTACATTGCCACCAAGGATCCTTGGACCCAATTTTCAATTTATTTTTTTATGGATAAATGATGCTCCATGTAAAATACACTATGTTAATGTCATTTCTTATCATTAGATATTTCACTAACTTATTAAGAAATAAAAACAATGAAATTTAAAGTCATTCTTTTTTTTTTTTAGTTTTTATTGTGAACTGAGTAAAAGTTTACAGGACAGATCATCAGTTTTACATTCAACAAATCATACACCTTATTTCATTATAATGATTATAATCCCCTCCATGTACCATCAGTTAACAGTATTTCTCTTTACTCATTTTAGTGCTTAACAACAGCAACACTCAGGCATATATAGTAATTTAAACCAACACAAGGGCACATTCTGCGAGCTTGCCTCATGACTGCCAGCTCTCAGTCCCTCTCTTTCCATGAGTCTAGAGTCCTCAGCTGCTTCCTCTCTCCATGTCCCCATCTCTGTCTCCATC